TTGTAAATAATAAACTTTTTATGTTGTATATCGCCCTCTCAAGGTAAATATATCAATTTAGCTATAAAACAATGTTCTTTGAATAAATCGACCGATTTGCTATTACCGTTTGGAATATATATATCACAACTACATATTCTGAGATTTTCATGGTCGCAGCTACCATCGTATGGTCTTAGGCGCTATTTGAAATGTATCAAAATTTACCGGGAGCACCGGTAAATTTGTATATTCCATTTTTTTCGAAAGCTGAAGTGTTTTAGGGGATAATTCTTTTTAGTGCTTATAATACATCCATAGTGGCATCCAGATATATCAAAATTGTAAAGAATCACTATGCAGCCAATTTTCAAAATTTACCAAAACTTTGTATTACCTTTAATATTTTGCTTTCGAATTGCGTAGTAAGATTCGCAAGATTGCACATTTAAAGGTGGAACATCACAATGTGATCGTTTGTACCCTCTTTACATCGGGAAACTGTAGTTGTATATTTACTGGATAGTGACATAATAATGTATTTTACGCAAATATTGCTGCCTCTTGGGGATGTAAATCCTTTACCTGTAAGGTTATACTAGTTACAATTTGAAATATTAATAATGATAAATAACGATTGTACTAATTAATAAGATTAACACTTATAACAATTATGATAATACTCATCTTCGTCATCATATTAACATCATCATAATGATTTGAATTTTGTATCCAGCGTATCCTCATTAGTATTCCATTGTTTCCCTTAAGTGGCCAGCATTTATTTACTTACCTTATCCCCCAAAATGGCAACGAGCCCGTTTTGACCTCCTATCAATAATGTACTTTTAACAGGTAGAGCGTTTGGCATGACTCTGGTTCTGAACACGGAACAAGATGAATATTACTACAATTCATACCTGAACGACGCAACGGGATTCATTATCCAGCTACTAGATCAAGATGAAGTGCCTCAAGTATTAGAGCAGGGGTTTGATGTTGGACCGGGCACACTTACCTCTGTTGCCATTTTGGCTACTCAGGTGATTGCATACCTCGTTTTGTTTTCCACATATTAATTGAACCCGTTGCACACGGGGCACCATTTCGATTGGGTTTCGATTGCATGAGGTTGGCCTAAGATGGGTATGCGAATTTGTTTGATATGTTAATATATAAATAATGTACCTGGCATTATCTATGACCCCCCCCCCCCCCCCCCCCCCCACCTCCCCTCCCCCCAATTTTTTATTTTTTTTTAATAAATACATAATTATTTTTTAAAAAAACGTACTAAAGCCTGCGAAAACTACCCTTGGAAGGCAAGGGCAACTACTTCCAGTTAATGATTTACAACTATCCAGCATGGACACAGTAGCCGGTCTGCATTTCATAAACTCACCGGATGAATAATATCGTCGGATGTTAATTGTTTTAATTGTTACATGTATGTCTTTGTTCATTTCTCTTTTTATTTTATTTTCTTTCTCGGATGGGAAGGGTTTTTTCCGTGTAATTGTCAATCCTTTTTTGACCTCAGTGATAAAATCCCCTTGTATATTTGTCAACTTTTAAGAAAAAACCGAGCTGAAAAATATCAATATCTTTTATGTCTTGCCCCTTTCACACGTCTAATCTCTTGATTTCTAAAGCACATCTATGAAAAGCCACCTTACGGCGTCTGTGGAGAAAAGAAAGAGAAATTTTATGAGAAGTATTCGCAGCCAAAGTGTGATTTGGAGTGCATGACGGATTTTGTTGTTGGCGAGTGTGGATGCAGAACAGCATATATGCCCGGTTAGTACATTTTGTCTTCACCTTAATGCCCGTTGCACATGATGTGCCATTTCCCAAGCTCAAAATGGCAGCGCATTTGACTAGCGCAGGAGTTCATGCGTCATTCTAACGTTACATCAAAATGAAGGCTGCCTGAAAAGTGAATATTGCTCGTTGCACATGACATGTATTTGCTCAGAAAGAACAAGACCTACTATTTGGGGAAGGATCATGTAATGTCATGGCCTAGCTGACTTAAGGATGAGTCATTGAGCAGCGCAGTATTTCATGCGTCATTGTAAAGTAACATCATACACAATGACTGCTACCTGAAGAGTCTAAATGTTGCTCGTATCACATGACACGTATATGCTCAGACTGACCTAGGCCTGTTATTTGCAAAGGATGACGTAGGGCTGCGTGGTCGACTAGCTGACGTAAGGCTGCGACTTTGAATAACGCAGTATTTTATGCTTGATATTGAATTACATGGCACAAAATGAATGCTACCTGAATATTGCTCGTTGCACATGACACGTAATATGCTCAGACTTACCTAGGCCTGTTATTTGCAAAGGATGACGTAGGACTGCGTGATCGACTAGCTAACGTAAGGTAGGTAAAAACGCAATCGTAAATTTTGCAATATTGCCACATGGGTGTCGGTAATGGGGATTTTGATTGAGGTAAGCACCATTATTTTTTCAGCTTCTCAGTTCCACTTCTTTCTATTCTGAATTTATTTTCATGACAGACGTCAAAGATGTACACATTTGCAATATTTCCACACCTACCCACAGGAACACAAACAGGCACAAAACATAAATATATACATATTATACAGATATTGACTGGCAAGGGGTATAATATTATAGAGATATCGACTGCTTTGAGAGGCCTGGCTGGTTTTATATGCTCAAGGGAACTCGCGCATCCTGCCATTACCCCTCGGCGCGCAACCCCCCCCCCCCCCCCAGGCGCTGGTAATGGCGGAATCTGAGCGAGTTCCCGAGAGCATATAAAACCTGCCAGACCTCGGAATATCCTTTTATATGCCTAATCAAACAAAAATCTACCAATAATTCTTACCTTACCCTTTTATTGAGTAAAGATTGGTTTAAAAATAACGGAAACTCTGGGAAGCTGTCTGTTTATCCAATTAGTTGGGAATCGCAGACAACAAACACTATATGGTGTCCGCGCCCGCTCAAAGAACATTTTAACGCGTAAACCAATGGTTATCGCAGCAAGATTTTATTATTTTTCCGGTTACTGGAATTTTGTCGGGATTTTACTCTTGGACTATTAATAGGTTTTGGTATTGTTCATTTCTTTACCGGAATGGCTAAAATCACGACTGCAATTTCGACAAATCAGATGGCTAGATTTCTTAAGTGAAGTAGGCCTATATAAAAAAAAAATAGAACTCCTTTCAGGTCCGAAAAATGTTATATACCCCATGCCAGCCAATATCTGTTATACAGTGCGTCCCGGAAAAAAACGAAACCGAGAATTATCGATGTTTTATCAAAACTTAATCACAATTATGATTGAAAAATGACACATATTAGTGTAAAGCTTAGATCATCCTCTTTCATTTGATACTACTCATATAATGCATATTTCACGCAAGAGTGATTAAAATTAATTTGAAGAGAGGAAACCAAAAAGTCATTTGGCGGACGGTATCTGAATTTCAAAGAGAAAATCACATTTCTAGAAAGTTGAGTATCTGCCCTTTCCTATGACACCTCAATCAGGAAAAATGAACTAGGAATAACAAAGTTCTGTTGTAGTGCTTGCATTTCCATAATTGTATTAAACAAATTCGTTTTCACTGGATGCACTATGAAAATGACGGGCAAAGAAAGCGGACAAAATATACAGTTCCTCAGGTAGACAAAGGAACATCCCTTCACTGCTATTATGTAAAAATGTGTAGAACAGGTGAATATGCATGTGACACCTGTTCTACACATTTGTACATAATAGTAGTGAAGGGATGTTCCTTTGTCTACCCGAGGAACTGTATATTTTGTCTGCTTTCTTTGTCAGTCATGTTTATAGTGATGACTGCCGGAGCAACAAACGGAATTAACAAAAGACAAAAACTCCGTTTCGTTGACGATCAACCATGCATGAAGTCTTTCGTCTACGGCTGATTGTTAACGAAATGGAGTTAACTCTTTTGTCAATTTTGCTTTTTGCTACTGCAGGCAGCCAGTGAAAACGAATTCGTTTGATAAAATTATGGAAATGCAAGCACTACTTTAAACAAACAGAACTTTGTCATTCCTTGCTCATATTTCCTGATTGAGGTGCCATATGAAAGGGCAGAAACTCAACTTTCTAGAAATGTGATTTTTTCGTTGAAATTCAGATACCGTCCGCCAAATGAATTTTTCGTTTCCTCTCTTCAAATTAATTTTAAGCACTCATGCGTGAAATATGTATCATATGAGTTCCATAAAATGAAAGAAGAGGATCTAAACTTTTCAAATATGTGTCATTTATTAATTATAAATTTGACTAAGTTATGATAAAACATCGATAGCTCTAGGTTTCGTTTTTTTCTGGGACGCACTGTATTAGATAGCATTCTTTCGAAAATTTAGCCTAGAGGAAAGGAAAGGGATGGTTGTCTATTTTCGTTTGCCCGAAATTGTTTCCATTTCCATTGTTTCCATTTCGAGGGCAATACACAAATTTAAAGTGAGAACCAACAAATTAACGATTTTCTTTTTTTTTAATAATTCAAGAAAAAATAATATCTTCAAATGTTTTTTTAATTTCTAATTAAAAAAAAAGAGCACTTTCTTGGAAGAAAAAAAAATTGTTATAAACAAAAGCATTTTTGGGGAAAAAAAGAAAATGTGGAAAAATGATTAAAAGGGAGAAAAAAATTGGGTGAAAAAAATATTAATTAAACAAAAATTGACCCTTAGTATTGGTGTAATTTATTTAATTGGTGAAAAACAGGCCTTTGGAGGGCGACATGCATTGATAAAAAGTATATTCATTTCACCAACTGCATGGTGAATATAACACTGGAAAGTGATCGGCCAGGAAAATATAACAATTACGATCCTCGCAATCGATATCACGTGACGAGCTCTTGCCCAATCACATCTATGTATCTGTCTAAGCTTTCTAATATATATATATATATATATATATCTACATTTATATACAAACTAGTAAATATATAAATATCGATAGATATTATCGTATGCATAATTTATCAATTTGTCTATCGCATTTCTTCTAGGTAACGCAACAGTTTGTGACCCGATTGCTATCGCTACCTGTACGCAATACATTGTTGGTGAGTAGGCTGGGACTTAACAATTTGTGAAATGATTTTATATTCACTATTTTTTGAGAATGTATTTATCAATTGATTATTAAAAAAATATAACAGGAAACGTGCAATATTTTACTCGAAATTTTATCTGAAACATTCTCTAGGGTTTGGAGTGGAAGAGCAATACAAAGAAGTAAAAACAGCTACTAGAATAAGGCAATATATAGTGACTTCTTTTCGATTCCAGTCAAAACAAATAATTAAGTAAGGCAGGAATGAGTAACATAGATAGAGCTATGCATCAACACACCCATATGTACAACAACACAAATCAAAGCATAATGTGACTTGAATACAGATTTACCATTTGCTACATCCTTGAACCCGTCTAATAATAACTATTTGTAGTTATGATTGCATTCTATAATGTCCTGTTTATGGTTGACATGAGAGTAAGTGTCATCTTTATTGTCATTGCCATTCATAGAACATAGACATGGCGAGTTGGACAACTGCACGTGCCCGATCGAATGCGAGAAAAAGACATTTTCTGCGTCACTGTCATCTGCCAAGTACCCTTCGAATTTCCGTGCTAATCTCTTTGAAGAATACCTGAATGAAAGCGTACTCAACTTTCCCTCTCTCAAACGTGCTGACAGTTCCTTCATTAAGTAGGTAGTTTCCTATGGTCGGCAGTCAATGCAATGAACTTCATTAAATAAAGAGATCTAACGTTTTATCAATAACAAACAAGTGTAGACAAATTTGATTAGTAATACCTAATTATCAATTTTCGCTCATATTTTGTTTGTTATCATATTAATTTAAACACCTTTTTTTTATTCACAAAATGATATCACCTTAATTTCATTCTGCAAAAAAGACATAGTGAAATTGAAAAAAAAAATAGAAATTAGGAGTTGCCAGGAAGGAAAAGTTGCCATTTGGGTTTAATCAATCACATATTCAATAATTAAATCAACTTTACTTGCCTTTTTCATTGTTTTTCCGTACTGTTCACGTGTTCTTGTTTGTTTATATTTTTTGAAATCTTTGCAGGGATAACTTTGTAGCAGTAGATCTGTTTTTCTCTAGTTTGGGAACTAATGTGATAACTCAGCAGGCATCCTATACTATCGTTTCTTTCATGTGTGAGTATCTAAATATCTCCTGTAATTCTTAATTTAAAACAATGAGAAATTGAAGCGTGGTTAAGCAGCATTTTCATTAAACGCAATTAAGAAAATTATTGAAGTGATAACATGTTTATCAATTTGTCTGCTTCACTTAAACATTCACAGACATTCTTGTTCATTTTCTTCTGCATTATGTTGTGATAGGAGAAAATTATGTTATCACTCTAAAATCGTTAACATTGACATTTTAATAGATGCTTTAAAAGGATGGGAATGTGTGAATAAACATAGCAAAAGGCACATATTGCCTGTGAGCCTATGTCGGTCGCTTCCTATACCGGGGCATAGTCCCTAGCGTCCCATGAAGATCACCTAACTCTTCGTTTTTCCGAAATCACTCATGCGTAACCGTCCAGATACCATTTTGTCCATTTCGGTGACTTTTAGACTCTTCTTTCTGCCTTCCTTTCTCCATTTTGCCAAATGATACAAACTTCTTCAACATTGGTCTAGAGAGATGCTCTTTCATCTAACACGTAGAAACACGGGCGTCTATCTATGCATATCGTTCTAATAGGATTTCAGTTCTAATTATCATTATTATCATGTAATCAATTACTGATATCATCATTTAACACATTGCTTTTACCCCTTTTCCTTTCCAGGCGACGCAGGGGGTGCTATGGGCTTATGGATTGGCGGCAGTCTTCTGACACTTTATGAAATAATTGATCTTTGTGGACACTCATTCTTCTCTACGAGACATCCGTAGCTCAACTCTTAGACGGAATCATGAACTGGGACTTCTGGCATAACTAGAACACAAACATCAAACACACGCAAGCCCATACACTAAGAATAAAGGTGCCAATTTGCACCCTTAGGGGAGCAGACCCCTGCTACATTACGAGCACCCCGAAGGGAGCGGATGTGCACCCTTCTATGTGTAGACGTCGAGCAAACCTGCGCCTTTCTTTTTTACCTAATATTTACTCTAATATTATCCACGTAGATATTATCTACGATGTTGTACAAGTATGTTTATTTATTTATTTTGATTATTTCGTTTTATTTATACAGGGTGGCCCCGTCAGTAATCGCAGTACTGTTTTCCAGGGGGCCCTGTACACAAATGCAACATATACATGTATGAAGAAACAAACTACTTGAACAATATAAACATCACGGAAACATCAATACATAGTAACATATAATAGAAGAAAAAAAAGAGTAAAGAATAAGAGTGAATAATGAAACAAAGCCGTAGTAAGAATGATAAATTTCAATGAGCAATTTTAAATCGATAACAATATACTCTGATTATTATCAATGATCTGTTTAGATTTGAACAAATTATTATATTGAGAAATTTATGTAAATATTCATGAAAGAAATAAGTAAAGAAGGCAAATTTATCTTTAACATCGCTGCTTAAAATAGAGAGAACAAAAAGTATTCTTGGTCGGGGCATTTCGAACTGAGTGGGGTAGGCTATTCCACTGAAGAGCACCATCAACTGAGAAGGCACGTTTTCCACATTCTGTTTTAATTCTTGGAATAATGACGCCCAAATTGTTAGCATTCCTTGTTGAGTATCTATGAGTATGGGCGGACAGGGTGAACATATCATATAAATATGATGGGGCACTATTATTCATAACATCATCCATTAATTTACTTTTATTGAACTCCCATCTTTTTTCCATGTCAATCCATCTTAGGGTAGTAAACATTTCGGATGTGGGAATCAAAGTATTTATTTTCAGGATAATTCTTGCCATCTGCTTGTGTTGCTTAATCAAGATATCTTTTGTTCTTTTATTACAAGTACTCCATGAGACACTACAATAGTCATAGTAAGGAAGGATAAGAGAATTGGCAAGTAGTTTGACACTATCAATTGTGAGATATTTCCTGACTCTACGAAGTAGGGTGAACCTAGATGCAATTTTATTTGAAGTGTATTTCACATGATCCTGCCACGTCATGTGCTGGTCTAGACAAACTCCCAGATATTTTACACTTTGAACTTGCGTGATTGGTACATTAGAAACTTTTGTTGCGATTGATGTGTATTGCAAGTTCAGCAATTTCTGCGGTGTTCCAAAAATTATGAAGCATGTCTTGTCCGTATTCAGGGTAAGTTGGTTTCTTTCCAACCACTTGTTCACACAATCCAAATCATGATTAAGACATGTTTCGATTTCCCTTGGATTTGAAGAACTGTACATAAGGGCAGTGTCATCTGCATACATAATCACTTTACCGTGCTCGATGACTGATGGAAGATCGTTCATGAAAAGAGTGAAAAGGAGGGGCCCCAATATGGATCCATGGGGGACTCCAGACTTTAACTTTAGCACGTTAGATTTTTTACCTAGCAAGGAGGTACATTGTGCCCGGTGTACAAGATATGATTCGAACCATGACAATGCTTGTCCCGTAATGCCATACAGTTTTAACTTATCTAGTAATAATCTATGATTAACAGAGTCGAATGCCTTTCGTATGTCAAGAAAGACTATTCCAGTTATTCTACCTTTATCCATGTTAGTCAACAAATAATTGCTCAAAAATGCAAGTACGGTGTTGGTTGAATAACCTTTCCTAAATCCAGATTGGTGGGGGTTAGGAGATTATTATCTGACAGATAGTCTCGAAGTTGCACGTTAACTGCCTTTTCTAATATTTTCATAATCGACGGTATAACAGATATGGGACGATAGTTGCTAACATCGTCCCTATCCCCACCCTTGTGAATTGGGGTAACTCGTGCCTGCTTCCAATCAGCTGGAATTTGGCTGGTTTGCAGAGAAAGATTAAACAGGTGAGTAATAGGTGTACAAATAACGGGTGTGGTCAACTTCAGGAGACGTGCACTAAGCCCTTCTAGGTCAGTTGCCTTATTAATCTGAATAGAGTGCAATTCTCTTCGTACAAAATCCTCAGAAATCAAATCAAATTCAAAGACAGGTCGAATAGAGTTCTGAGATAATGACAAGATCACAGGTTTAACATAGGAATGACTGGCAGCAAGCAGACTACCAATAGATGTAAAATACTTATTAACACAATTTACATCAAGGTTCAAAGTATTGGGAACACTTTTGGTGGAAGTAGGGGCAATTTGTTTAAGCATCTTCCAAAGTTCTGATAGGTTCCTTTTGTTTTGAACTATTTGTTCATGACAAAAAGACTTTTTCAATGTAACTCTTTCATAGCACAATCGAGTGTACTCAGGCGTGACCCATTTTGTCTTCATACCCCTAACCCTCAAAGAAATCTTGGGGCAATGTTCATCACAAATACCAACAAACTTAGTCTTCCAGTTATTCCATTCAATTTCAATATCATTTCCTTCCATAATTTCCATTCTAGCATTTAATAATGCTTCACAAAATAACGTTACGTTTAACCGTCTATAAGCTCTTGTATGTATAATCCTGGCTGGAGTTTTTGGTTTAACATGTTTGCAAACAACATACACTAGTCTATGATCACTCAGACCATGAATGACAACATTTTTATCAAGCAAATTGTTTGGTCGATTAGTTAGAATTAAATCTAACAACTTAGAACTACTCTCAGTAACTCGAGTAGGATCGTCATCTGATTCGGGTTATACTGATTACACCAAGTTTTAACATTTCTTGATTCTCTGTTATTATACATGTTATAGTTAAAGTCGCCGAGAATATAACATTCCATGCCACCAGTCACAATCTTGGAAATTGATGTGTCCATCAATTCGGAATCACGATCATTTGTAGTACCAAGGTAATATGCACATTCAATCAAGGTAGAACATCATTTTCCAGATTCGTTTGCAAGTGAACTATAATGTATCCTGCCATATTCGGAGAACAAGCCCTTTTTGTATTATGTGATTTTAACCATTTACATTCAAATACTGGGATGTTCAAGTCCAGACCGTCTTCCACCGAAAAACTCACTTCAGCTTCAAAGCGTCTCGTCTTTTCTTTTGAATAGTTAATTCATGACTAATTCTAATTCTAATTCTCTGTGTCAAAAATCACAACATCTGATACATAAAGATCTACCTGTATGTGAGATCTGTTCATAGATGACACCGTCTTGGACTGACGATGTAAAGATGGGTCCAATTTCTATTTGTTCCTATGCTGCATAAGTTTATCTATTTTTGTAAGACATCATTTAAATATTAAGTATATAAAATATTATTATAATCATCATCATTTATGTGATTGTAATTCTAAAAAGATCCTGTGCATCATGATAAACTAAGTTGTTGATATACAATCATTACTGGCCTCATTTTGTTCACTCTAAACATTTTTATTTTCTCTCATTGATATTATACAAAGTGGTATTTTAATTTGTTCGTTGCGGAGGTTCCAAATTCAGTTATTAAGAAATGTAGAGAGAGAAGGTGTTGACTCTCCTAAAGAATATGGAATAAATGCCCTTCTTCTGGTTCTCTGATGACAGCTTTATTTTTTCTCAATGACATTGTACAGTGGAATTTCATTATAAAGAGCTCCGATATAACAAGGTGATTTTCCTGGCCCTAGTAGCTCTTCATATTCTTCAAGTTGCTTTTAGTTACCCTGATAAAACAAGAATCCTTAAATAGCAAGGTAACGAGTTTCCATTGTACAAAATGACATTTGATTGCTTGTCTGTTTGTCTGTTTTAGATTTTGTTTTGATCCTTCACAGACAAGCACCTCATCTGTTCGGAGCCAGAAGGGCTTTAACTCTGTGTTAAAGTATGTGAGTTCAATAACACCTTTCTGGTTCCAAACAGATGATTTATTGAGAATCGAAATTTGATTCTGAAGAAATGTTTACAGTCAGAATGAAATTAATAGTATATGAATTAATGCCCGTCTTACTCTAAGCAGACAATACTTGTCTCAATATTAAAGAATGTACACATTTATTGTTCTATGTGGAGGTTTCAGATCCAATTCTCAATAAATGTTGAGAGTCAGAATAACATTATACTCCAGATGAAAAAGACTAAATAGTGTTTGGTCTTAAAGTCTGAAGAGCACTCGGAAAAAATACGACTTGAGCAAACTGCCCTTCTTACTCTCTATTGATAATTTTTTTTTATTTTGTTCCAATGAGATTGTACAAAATGAAAACGAATTGCCTACCTGGTGTTTCCTGATACATATATATATATATATGGTTAATCCCGCAGTGGATAAAAAATAACGATATTGTATAAATTATACTTATAGATGTATTAGCTTTGTACATTATATCAATCGGTGATCGTCCTAAATAAAAGAGGATAATTTCTGTCGGAATGAGCACTACATGAGCATTTCATTGTGTTTATCAGGATTTGATGTGTACATGGATTATTTATACTAAGTTTAAAGTCAAGGAGAAAGTTTGCTTCAGCGAGAGGAGATTAGAGGGACATAGAAAGAGAGGGGGTGAGGGATGGAGAGACAGAGCGAGAGAGAGAGAGAGAGAGAGAGAGAGAGAGATTGAGATGGAGGAGAGGGGCGGAGAAAGAGTTAGGTGTGAGGGATTTAGAGAGATAGCAAGTGAGAGATAGGGGAGAGGTGAGGGATGAGGAAAAAAAGGGGAAACGAGATAGAGGAGAGGAACGAGAGAGAAAGAGAGGGGGAGTTTTAGATAATGGATTGAGAGAGAGAAAGAGAGAGAGAGAGAGAGAGAGAGAGAGAGAAGGGGGGTATGGTATGTTTTTAATCTAAGTTTTGACACATTTATTAAGGCGAGCCGAATATTTCGTAAAATTATCAGATATCTAGGCTATTTATTATAAAGTTGACAAGGATCGAGATTCAGCATGAGCGTCAAGCCGTCACGTAAAATTTAATTCAAGTGTGTTTCCAATTTAACACTTGTGCACCAAATCATACACGAATACACGTATATATAACGTCGCAAAATGTCATGCTCTTCAAATTGCTCAGTGAATACACTCTAGTCCTATTATGCGGCCCGCAGTTGCCGTTCATTTACATGACGACTTGAAATCTTGCATATCTGGACAAGCCTTTATGCTATACAGGTGAGGCAATACAGATTTTTTTTTCCCTCCACCGAGTTCCTTTATTGAATAATATCATTCACATACATATATGTATACAAGAAGAAATATGTACATGCAGAATTTCAAAATGGTATGCTTGGCCATCCAGAATATGATGAGAACTTACATGTATAGATATCAGTTACAAATTTCAGTTTATTTTTTAAAATATCACAGATTTACTTGGCAAAATAATTCAGAAGAAACAAACAATCAGGAACAGTTTGTAAAAGCAAACCACTTTTTCATAAATTTCTTTTCTTTCAGATTTGTTTTACATATATACTTTTCCGTATCATGATAACACTTTATCGCTAGTATTATGTGTTAAAAAGCTGGCAAATACTGTTTGCATTTGGCTGCAAAAGTTTCTTTCCTTACTATAATCATAGTGCAGTTGAGGGCACTGTTGTTACATGTAACATGTGCAAAACATGGATGAATTAACATCATTTTAAATACACTTTTTAATTACACCAAACTACTACTGTATACAGTACTTTCCACATTACAAACAATCAACTACTGCCGTATCTTCAGCATAGTGGAATAATAAATAGTAATAATAATAATACGATATTTGTATACCGCAAATTAAAAAAATTGCCTCTAAGCGGTTTAAAAGAAAATAGTTGATAAGTAAAGGTAACAGAATTTGCATTAAAAATTATATCAATTCAATCAACATTAAAACTTTGCAAATGCAAATAATACATGTACATAATTACAAATCACTTACAACCAAAATACAAATAGTTCATAAATGAATAGTATCTTACGTTAATCTACAAAAGGATTTAAAAGGCAAAAAGGTTAAAAGGGCTATTCAGGAACACAACTTTTATTTCTAAAGAGATGTGTTTTTAGCATTGTTTTAGATGTACTTAAAGAGCTAGCATTGCGAATTTGAAAGACCAGATTGTTCCAAAGAAATGCAGCTGCATAAACGAAAGAACGTTGACCGTATTCTTGGTATGAAATAGTGTGAGACCGAGAGAGGAGAGATTGAGAAGCAGATAGCAAAGTCCGGACAGGAGTGTATCGTGGAAGGAGTTCAGACAGATATTAAGGAGCGAAACCTTGATAAGTCTTGAACATAAGGAGGAGGATTTTGTAAGTAATGCGAGAAGTGATAGGAAGCCAGTGAAGTTTTTGAAGAACAGGGGTAATGTGTGAAGTACGAGGAACACAAGAAACAAGACGAGCTGCTGTGTTTTTGATACGCTGGAGCTTTGAGATTATTTTTGCAGGAAGACCAAATAGAAGAGACTTGCCACAATCAAGCCTAGGTGTGACGAAAGCATTGATAAGATGATGGACTTTATTCTGGTCGAGAAACCTACGAATTTTTACGAATAATTATTAGTCAACTGCAGTACTTTCAGTATAATGGGCTAGTATAAAATTTGAATAGCTTTCAGCATTTGCATAAACATGGACAGTTACAAACAAGTTGGCAAAATAATTAGATGGTTGCTATACCAGACTGCTTAGGACAGCATTCAACGTGCACTGGAGTCAGCATATGACAAATAAGGAGCTGTACGGGAATCTACCAAAAGTATCAGAAAAGATCAGGGAAAGAAGACTACGTTTTGCAGGACACAGCTGTAGGAACATCAATGAACCAATATCTCAGCTTCTACTCTGGAAACCTAAACACGGGAAGAAGAAACCTGGAAGACCTCATCTTACCTATACGGACCTACTCAAGAAGGACACGGGACTTGAACTGTCAGAGATAAAAGCAGCCATGCTGGACAGGAATGTGTGGAAGGCCATCACAGCTCGGGCAGTTGACCCGACTTAAGCAAGCAAGCAGGTAAGCAAAAACAAGTACTAATGTATTTTGCTATATAATTGAACACATACTTTTATTTCGATAAGGCATTTCAATCAATAATAACAATAATAGTAGTAACTGGTTCTTATATATAGCGCTTTACCATATACAACGTAACAAAACGCGTAAAATATTACTATTATCCCGCTCATTGGATTTCTTATTTTGCACAATATGGTACGCATTCTCCACTCACTGGGAAGCGTTTCTGTTGGTCGCCTTTAATTTTACACTTCGTATATCCTACCGGCTGCCCATTTAACCACCGGGTGGAAAGGAGCAATGCAGATAAAAATGTCTTGCTCAAGGACATAACTGCCGAGCCGGAGTTCGAACCCACGACCTTTGCATTCCCAGTCAAGAGATTAAACCCCACGACTACGACACCTCTGCAAAACAAACGATACATTTACTATTGGTCTCAATACCAAATCTGTACCTTCGAATTATTCATCTGCCGTCGTCACCAATGTGACCGAACTGACGTAATTGGCAAACAAACTACTGTTGGAACGTGGTCAGAATCTAATACAAAATATATTCTTAAACATGTGGCAGAGAATGGTTGTATCGTATCCTCTGTTATCATTAAACAGTATCATTATTGAGTAAATGTAAATCGCGTTTGTACATGTATATACAAAATGCGCTAGATAAATTCATTATTATAAGTAGTAGTAGTATAGGAAGTAGTATAGTATGAAACACAACTCTATATCACATTCTCAAAATATATGTACAGTCACTCTAGTGGATGTAGACTTCTACCGAAACACCACAACTCAGATGTGTCAACCATATATCAATCATTTTGCAGAATGATTCAGGGGGATTTTGTTGTCTTCCTATAACACTGCAGATATACTCCTAGTTGACCTTCAGATTTGCCACTTTCAGTAAGCATCTACATTCTGGTTCAAAGGGAAAGTCCACCCTGATAAAAAGTTGGTTTTCATTGAGTGGATTTCATATACATGAAACAAGTTCAAATACATTTAACTCCGTTTTCCCATCTTTATTTTAGTTGGTTTTGCACATGACGGAGAAGTAGTTCTTTTCCCCTCATTTAGCAAACGCTTTAGCAAATTGCAAAGAATTGTCCGTGCATCTTTTCCTGCTTTTTCCCACAGTACCTGTAGCGTTTTAACATCTGTGGTGGTGACTTTCACGTCTTTTAATCTTGTTAATTACTTTTTCCCCATCAATCACAGGTGTTACAAATATATATTTGGTGAACATTCCACAAAAAATGATAATTACATAGTATCATTAAAGGTAAATTACATACAACTCATATGAAGAAAAAAAAACATAATTATAGTCAACCCTTTAGGACTAACACCCATGAATTGGAACCTATATAAAAGACAGACAAAAAACAAAAGCAAACAAGAAACCATAGACGTAGTCTTTAAAAAAAAACTAACAAACGAAAAAGAGAAGAAAAGAAAAACTTTAGAGAGAAACAAAAAGTACAAATACAAACAAAACAAAAGAAAAGAAAAAGCCTAATTACTAGTTATCGTGTCTACGAATATCGATACCGTAAGCAGCGAAACTAGATGTCCTAAACAAATTACTCTAGCTTGTCTTTGTGTCTCGGAGAGCATTGTAGATGGAGATTTTTTATGATGAGCTTTCCATAAGAGTAGGGTTTATTGAAGTTCGCTGTATATTATTGATCATTTCAGACTTAATTGTCGCTACATCGTAAATGTGAAGTCTACTCTCGGTTATCAAATACAGCGAATATCGGGTAAACACCCGATTCGAACATGGTATAAAATCTCCATGAAAAAAAAAAGGTAGATTTTTTATTTTTAAAGATCTTGCTGTCACTTGTAATCGTGTAATCATGTGACAACACAACTATGACGCTTTATTCAAATCATTTATAATTTTAATCTACTCACCCTTTTATTTAGATGCTATAGCAAAATGAATATTTCATTAAATAATTCATATATAGATATATTAAGAGATAAATAAATTAATTAATGAAACAGATTCAATAAAACAATAATCAATTTAATGATGACTCGTTAAATGAATAATACAAAAAAAAAATCAGTTTAATGATAACTCGTTAAATGAATAAAAAAGATTTAATAACACAATAAATCGAATTCAAGAAAAACTCGTTATGGTTCAAGTTTTAATACCAAGTACTTCGAATCTCATAGCCGCCCGAGAAGGAAATGTTATAGGATGAAACCTGACGTACTTTGCGGTTACTGGCTCAGGAAACAGTATGGTCACATATGAGTCAGAATCAAAATTTCCTGCATATGTCTGAAAAAGAACGAAAGCGATATATAATGTTTATTTTTAATAATGATAATGATAATACACTGTCGCTCATAAAGGTGGAATATGTTAGTTTTACCCCAATTCAAGGAATTATTTTAAAAATTATTTTAAAATAATAGATAAAGATAATAGTATACATTCTCAGATTGCATTTAATAATAACTTGCCAATGTGTGTTTTGCGGAACTGCTAAAGCATGTGTATGCTACTATGCTTATTAACTAGGAGACCTACGCTCTCAAGTCATAAATGACAGTAATGAGGATTAATGCCCCCACAAAAGGGCACTAATATAGCACATCGACACGGTTTTGATCCTGGGGCCTCACAGTTACGAGGCCATTGTTTTGTCACTGAACCATTACAAAACAATGGCCTCGTAACTGTGAGGCCCCAGGATCAAAACCGTTTCGATGTGCTATATTAGTGCCCTTTTGTGGGGAATTACTGTCATTTATGACTTAAGGGCATGGGTCCCCTAGTTGATAAGCATAGTAGCATACACATGCTTAGCAGTCACGCAAAACACACATCGGCAAATTATTATTTAATAAAATCTGAGAATGTATACTATTATCTAGATCTTTGATTTTTAAATTATTTTTAAAATAATTCAATAAATTGGAATCTAAAAAAAATATTCCACCTTTATGAGCGACAGTGTACTAATGATAATAATAATGATCTATAATGTAGGTATAAACCATGAAATAGCTCATCAGTATCACTCCTGCTCTTTCCAAGTGCCCTGCAATTCCTTTGACCCCCGGAAACTTTCAAATATCCTTTTACACCTAGGTGGAGAATGGCAAAAGTTGACTAATGTTAGAGATATCATATACATTTCATCACATTTTTAAAATCCTTTAATTTTGCATAAGAAATGCATCCTTTTGGATGTGTAAACGTATGTAGATATGATTAAAAAATTGCATGCAAAATTCAATAAGGACATTTCTAAAAAGTAGTTAAGTATACAAGACTAAATGAATATGATAAAAAACGAGGAAGATGATAGATTTAACCAAAACAAAATTGGCTTTAAATGGAAGTGCGAAAATGACACTCACTTTGAGTACCCCGCAATGCTCTTCCAGAGCAAAGGTCCAATTTGTATTGTCTCTTGAGTAGGAGATTTGGAAAGACGTAACCCAGGAGGCCTCATTGTGCCATCCCTGTGTGATAACACCAGTTACCAAAGTATCCTCGCCGAGATCGACCTTTTGGTGAAGGAGACAAAGTATTAATATATATCCGATGGCAGATTATCTTGCGTTTGATAACAATACTAAGGACAAGCAATATATATATATATATATATATATATACATATATATATATATATATATATATAAACATATGTACCATTTGAACACAATTGTTGCTTTCAATATGAGCAAAATGAAAGAGCTAGTCAGATTTGAATGATAGCGATAGCGGGGTTTTCGATTGAAAGGAACGTATTTTAATGTTTATTAAGGATGGACCTCAAGTGGAAAATTTCGTTTTCGTTCAAGGTCGAGTCTGACCAGCCCTTATTTTTTTTTAATTTTCATAGCATGTATCCTAGTTTGTATCTTATAATATAATCATCTGCGTTGTCAGGAGTTCTGTCAAGGTACAGCCTATCACGAAGAGAAGTTAGATTTTCATGCATTCTAGCTGTACACCAATTATCTTTTGAAATCATCTCAACGCGCATTTAGACATGCTAGAGCAATTACCTTAACCCACGAATTGCTGTCTGCAGCGGCGGCAACCCATGCACCGGCACCGGTAACGTTATTTAGCCTTCCGTTGTAAGCTTTATCCGATGAAGAGGTCAGACTAGAGTCTGGTATACGACCATCTTCCACGCCAAGCCCCTCGCCGAGGACAGGAGGATTGCAACCAAATACCGCATCGACGTTCAGCGACGCTGCACACACAAAAAAGAAAAAAGGCGTCGACAAACTGACCTTGTAACTAACTTTCTTATATACAGTAGGTTTGCGGTTGCACCATGTGTGAGAGAGAGAGAGAGGTTTGAGGAGTCCTGAACTATTTTATATTTCCTACTTATTCGCAAGGCAAAGTTGTCCTTTTAATAAATCTGTTTATGAATGTAATCTGGTAATCTACTCTGTCAACAAGTTATACAACGTATTGATAAGAATAAACGAACAAGGAATACAAAACAAAACAACAACAACAACAAATAGAGAAGGAAACAAAAGGAGATTTTTTAATCGGGTAATGGTACGATTCTTAGGTAACCAATAATTATCATGATCATGAAAATAGAGGTATGTTGATTTTTTGCGTGTTCAAGTAGATATTCATTGATTTTAAAAACTAACTTTATTTTCATTATTGCAAAGTTGAAACTTTGATTCGACAAAGTTATTAAAATTCAATGCTTGGGAACATTCGAAGTAACGATTATTATAAATTACAAAACGCTTAAATACAGCCCCGGCATAACACCTGAAAAGCTCTCTGAACGCTGCTGAGATGTGTAAGATCACAGTATGGACATGACTTGCACAAGCAGACGATGTCCCATGACATCTCACACATTTTCAGTGCCTTTGTTTTCATCTTCTCTTGAGTTCTTTCTCTTACTTCACTACCGTCAGGCTAAATGTTTAATCTATTGCCTCACTCTAAACCCCGTGCATGGTTTTATTTTGATGATAAATGCATCGATACAAAAATAAAGGAATCTGTCTCTTGTAAACAAAATAAGACGCCATTGTATATTCAGCTGCACACACCGCGGTATGTTCGGCGTTTCAAGAGGGAACAAATGCCGTCCTTAATATCATTCCGGGGTATTTTGAAAGTCTGGTTTCTGTGATTGTCAATTAACCCCTATCCTGTGTATTTACAAACAAAAAAATTTAGTTACCAGAATCGGGTCATATCCCCTTTTGAATGGTTTGACATGCCATTACATTTATATACACTATACTCATTATAATTTGACAAATAATAGCTTTGCAATTACGTTCATTGTTCATGGGATGTCGTCTGCTTGAGCAGTATTGGTCCATGTAGTGACGTCATTAAAACATCGTTATTTTTCCGGCGCTTCTCTCGTATACCCCAGCTGCTATGGAGGTTGTTGTATTCGTATTTTTATAAATCACCCGATATGTAGTTGACCTAAAACTTGTACGATGGCCATCTGTTAGCTTACCAGTTTCTAGTGTTACATTAGTTGACATATTTTTGCCTTTCTTTGAATTTCACCTTTAATAAAAAACACCTGCCATATTGGTACACAAGAGTTCCTGTATTTTCCTGTATTTATTGAGCATTCGTGTGACAGGATGCTCTTGTAATCACCTACAATATTCATTTTTTAACAGATGGGTGCCGGCTTATTCAGGCGTTCAACCAGCGACAAAACGAAGCTGTGACGTCATAAAAATCTATTTTTAGAATTTCTCAATTTTTTCTTCATTTTCCAAAATAGCATCTAAAATTATGTCCAAATGTCGAAAATCAATTTAATATGTTAAGTATTGGCTGAGATATGACCATCTGAATGAATAAATTTTCTATAGGATCTCAGTGTTATATGCTCTGGCTCCTAATTGGTTTTCGACAGTTGGACATTATATTTGATGCTCTTTCGGAAAATGAAGAAAAAAATGAGAAATTCTAAAAATAGATTTTTTGATGACGTCACACTTCACCAGTGGTGAAGTGTGACGTCCTCAAAATTTGGTTCAATTGTTTCTTCATTTCCCGAAAAGAATCCATGACACATGCTCCGCCGACAAATGCTCCGCAAAACGCGACAATTGCTCCGCGACATTTGCCTCGATCATATAGCATGTAAGTAATGGTGTGTAATGCAAGATTCTGGCGTCATCAAAATCATCACAAATTTGGCAGAGTCTTGGTAAAGTAACAATCACTTACACATAAAGATGTATATGGGACAACACACATGGTGTCGGGGGCTAGTACTACCCTGATTTCCTTATCTTTCTATGCTCATTACTCAGCCAGCATACATTTTCTTCCAAAATTGTTTGGCACATGACATTCATTTGTAATCTTGAACATTCAGTGTAAGTTTCGTTAAAATAAAACGCATCCCCCTTCTCAAAATGCGTGCTACGGCCCTGAATAACAACAACAACAACACAAATCACAAACAACAACAAAAATACCCCATGCAAAAAAATTATTGTCGGCGGAGCAAATGTTGGCGGAGCATTTGTCGGGTTACCCCTGAAAAAGCATCAAAAATAATGTCCGAATGTCGAAAACCAAGTGAATATGTTAAGTATTGGCTAAGATATGACCATCTGAATGAATATGTTTCTTTTAGGAACTCAGTGTTCTGTAGCTACTCGGGAAATGAAGAAAAAATTGAGAAATTCTAAAAATAGTTTTTATGACGAAAAGATAATTATTTATTCTTTGCAGTAGTGCCTTTCAGCAATTGCCGATTGAATTAAATTAATCTTTGCATACGCGCTTGACGTAATGTGAACAAATTATCAGCGTATTCGTTGAATTCTTATTAAAGAAATGAAACCCGACCACAACACGAGGGCACGGTTAAACATGTCGCACGCATCGAAATTCGCTGGCCCACCTGGAAATGTCTTGAGCTTGCCTCCGCGCTCGGGGAGCATTCGGGTGAGAGAGATGTATGATGGATGGGTTAAACCCATCGCACTCTATATACGATCTGACTACGAACCAATTTTGGAAGCATTTGCAACAAAATTTGATAGGAACATTCAAACGTACTATTATTGATCGAGGATCCGAATAGTCTTATGAATTATCCAATCTAATTTTGAAACTTTCTTGAGGGAGGACAAGCTAAATCGGCTCTGACTCGTAGTGACGTCAGGTCAGTAGTGCGATTATCTACTATTTTAGGCCGATTGGTTGTTTATTATGACTATTTCTATCATTATTCAGAACTTAAATTGGAAAGCTGATGTTTGTTTAGATTTCCATACCTTATATAATTGCTATTTCTTCGAAAATTGGATCGCAGGAGGATAGTGTATGCGGTGGGGCGGTTCTCCGGAAAATGATAGAGGATCAGTGTTAATAGTGAACTCAATTATTTGTGTGATTGATAACACCAAATGATGTCATATTCCCAATGATAACGCATTGCATTGTGTCTTAAAAATGGTGTTTAGAACTAGCCATAATATCAATATGACAGAAACTTGCCGGAGGCAATTGTGAACTGTTGGCCTTGTAGAACAAAACCGTTGATATTACACTCGGGGGTTTGGAATGATCAAAATCTGAAAAAAGACGATCCAACCTTGTTTAAATCCACGTGCATTACACAAAGAAATGGGGAAACGGGACTGCACACAAGTCAAGTGTTTCGTCCAGAGTTTTCAAGTTTTGATCATTTCTTGTAGTATGATGAGAGCATTTTAAGAGCAATGCAGTTCAGGGGACAATCCTACTATATTTTTTACCACACTGACACACAAAGAGAGCGAGGGAAAGCTCGCAATCATGTTTTCATTTGTTTCAGCACCAACCAATCTATATACATAATATATATAAGCCTTGTCTTTAGGCAACAGTCCTACTCTGCACTTACCTATGGCATCAGTTAGAGGTCCATACCCATAAAGTTCCATCCTGAAACCCTGGTTAGTGCGAAAGGTCTTTGGATGTACCCGGAAAGAGCGTCCAACTACCGGCCTAGCAAACATGTGAGTCACCTGGCTTCCATCTTTTCCCGAAAATATCTATAGTTAATGAGAATGACGTTAAGTAATATTGCAAAGAAAACTCATTCGTAATGAAGCTAATTGTTAGTATAAACTATACGGCTTGTGAATTAAAACAATGCTGACTATGTTGTTGTCAAGAATGGCCAATTACGAATAACATGGCCATTTTTTCTTCTTCTTCTTTTTTTCCTCATTTCTTTGTCAGCTCCATATCTCAGTATCCTGAAAAGTATTGTGATAAAAGAAGAAGAGTAACCCGAGTTCCATCGCTCGGGACGGTCGAAACCTCCCTATTAACATGGCTTGCTCAACCAAGGTGTCATTTTCAGTCGAGGGTTCTTTTCTTTTTTCTAATTTTTGTTTGAAAAATATCATGACTGTGCGCAGCGGGGGCTTAAGGACGTAGGTCCCCTAGTTGATTACCATAGTAGCACACCTGCTTTAGCAGTTACGCAAAACAAACAATCACAAATTAATATTCAGTCAAATCTGAGAATGTATTATCTATATCTATAAGCAGGCGCGTACGCAGGGGGGTGTTTGGGGGGGTTAACCCCCCCCCCCTTTGGTATTTTTATGTGTATAAACCCCCCTTAAAAAAAACCAACCCCCCCCCTTTGTTTTTTTTTGGATTTTTTAATAATAATAAAAAAAAAAAAATATTCCCATGGCTGACCTAAAAAAGGTGACCTTACCCCCCCCCCCCCCCAACGGAGCAAAATGTCAAATTTTCAAATATCGAGACCAAAAAAAAAAAGTGTCCTCTTACCCCCCCCCCCCCACACTTATTCAGCGGCTGGCTGAGTCGATGCGAAATTTTCCGCCCGATTTAAAAATGTTAACCCCCCCCCCCCCCCCTTGAAAAAATCCTGCGTACGCGCCTGTCTATAAGAATAAATCATCGTCAAAATCATTCCATAAAAATTATTCTACCATTATGACCAACAGTGTATATTGCTTTTTTTTACTTTTCTTCTGCCCATTATATATACATAACATGACAAATGGGAGTTCCTGTTTTCTGATTTAATATGCATTTTCGTTATTGCCTGCAAAAAATAAACGATAACAATATCAAATACAAAATTAAATTGGGACCTTGTTATTTGAAAACATTGTTATATTAACTTTAACTTCAGCAAGACAATCAAATCAGTTTTATTTTCCTAAGTAGTATATACTGTTTTTTGTTTTTTTTATCTGTGGGTTTTTTCTCAGCCTTGGCACAACAAAGCTGTATTATAGCAACATATTTTCCTTAATTTAATGGAGTTTCAACGAGGTAACACTGTTTATCTCTGAACACAAAGACCACTGATTATCTTTTTTTATAAATGTAGTTGATGAACCGCAGTTTTGCAATTACCTCTACTGATTCAGAGTATACGTTCAAATAGTAAGTCCAAGTCGTGTCGTCAAAACTAGACGAAAAGGTGTATGACGTCACCCCGAAATCAACGACACCAAGACCCTGAGACGCTATGGCCGTTACGATATAACTTGACTCAAAATGGACCTGTATCCATTCGTTTTTGTCGGAACGTGCTGCGATCCAGGCCACATTTTCAGTGTTCAGGCGGACGGCACTGGTGCAATAGACCGACGAGAAGCAGGATGATGATGAGAGAGCCGAATCGGGAAGAGCACCACTTTCAAGGCCGAGCGGTTGACCAGATATATTACAGGGGTTCACTGTAGGAAATAAAGTCAATAAATAATGAAAGCATATTACAGAGTAAAACGACAGAGGCCTGGACTGGAAGTGCAAATAAAACACGATAGTGAAAGTTATATTTCGTACCCATAGCAAGTCATACAAACTGTCATTATACGCGGTGTTGCCAAATTGCAACGAGATTATGATATCTTAACAAGAATTTACCGTCCTCGGTGAAATTTCGTAGGTGAGGTTTGTGAAGTATTCCCTAACATCTCCTTAAAATTTATAAGCAGGGCTCAAATTTTTTGGTGTGCACAGGGGCTCTCCCCCCCCCCTCCCCCCCCCCCCAAAAAAAAAGAGTCCCTGTGAGCTCTTTTAGTACTGACGAGGGCTCTTTTTTAATAACCATTGAATTGGTTCCCATGATATTCCTAAATTCTCTGCTATTTCATCATTATTATTTATTTAAGTTATATGCAGCTAATGGTCAGATCTCCTCCCTCTGTACGAAATGTCTGGTCCAAGCCCATACAGTCGCCTCCTTGCCAACAGGTTTCCTTTTCATAATTTTAGTTTTCGGTTGATTATTACTGGTCGAGTTTCATTACTTGCTGGTCTCGTGGCTTGACCGGATTTCAGATGATTCACGCTTTTCACAACGAAAAACTTATTGTTTTGGTCCTTGCGCGATTGCATCTAGACTAGCTCTAATAGCAGATAATGGGGCGGCAGCGTGCACATCGGGACTACTGGCGCAGCTAGTATAACTAAGGACTAATATTTCAGGAAATTTTGCTCCATTTCCTTTCGCTTGCCTCCTGTTAATGCTGCGGTCACAAATGTTTGTACGAACGATAATTTCGTACGAATCTCCCTGTTTTTCCATTGTCTTCCCGAATTTCCATTGTCTGAAAATCGTTCGTACGGCGTTCGTAGCAATTCGTAATAGCATTCATGACCGAGGTCTTAGGTAAGCACTGTGTAATACTCCTATTATCAGACGAGTGGTAACAAAAACATATTTCCCTTTGAAAGTGGCCCGTTAGATTGCAGCTAGGCAGGAATCTTTTGTCTACGTATTTGCAAGAGAGATCCAGTTAAGCAAATGTCTGACACTTTTTTCTCCTGGCGGCCTCGAAGATGGTACAAAGGGAATGAGCTTGCAATAGCTCCATCTCTTAGAACGTCTTGGTATAACCACTGCTGACGGCCGCACTGCACTGCGAGCTTCCGTTGTTTGTATAGGTAATACTAATAGATGTGGAGATGGAGGATCTTACACATTTTAAAGATACATGAATGATACGGCAAATAAGCGCACATTTATTTACAATATGACGGCCTCTAGTCACCGAAAAATTCGAGGGAGAAACCCTGCACGCTAATCTTACTTTCATAGTTCCATTTCATTGGTTTAAGGTTTGAAAGTTGAAAATCAATATTGTGTGAAAGTTATAACAGAAAAGATAATCTTTAATTTATAATTCCGCGAGGGCGATTTTTAATGTTGCAATCGCCCCCGTAAGTAATCTGACGGAGGCAATTATGTAGCTCACGTGGGCGAATCGCCCATCGCCCCCGTGTTTTTTTTTAGCCTTGTTTTATAAGGTTATACAATCTATAAGTTAACTTCCTACAGAGATAATATTATCTTAGCAACATGTACAATATTTTAAATATTTACAAAGATATATCATTAAATAGCATTAGTGCCCAGATATATCTAGCGTAAATATTTTGCTTTTGTATTTCGAGACAAATATTTCCATTAAGCCAAAGTCATGAAACTATATTTAAAACATCTTTTAAGGACTATACTTCAAGAAGATTTTGAAGTAATATATGAGTTACTTACTTTTTCTATTTATTTATATTTCAATCAATACGATAAGTATTATACTGTAGGAAACACAAGGCATTGATTTAAAGAAAACATAAAACTGTATTTCGTTTTCAACTCTTACATTTAATTTAGGTTGTGCAACAAACGCTATATAAAAGACAATTGATTACATTTATGTGTGTGTAAATGATATTTAGTTTAACTCTTAACCCCTTTTTGTACAAATAATTGACATTAATTTGAGAGCTTGCAACAAATCGTTCAGGCACCAGGTGAACGCTAATTGTGCAATGATGCTAGTTAATGCACTTAACTCGTAACAACGACTCGTAAACAAAAATCCTAACGAAATGTTTTACTCATAAGCTTACATTAATTGATTTGACAATGTTTAATTATTTGATTATTGCACATTGTTATTTATATGTTTATGTAACAGATTCTACAGTTTCTTTAACTTTGCGAACATTAGTTTTAACATTGTTATCTATATGTTTGTAATTATATTTGTATTTCAAATCAGACCTCAAGTTTTGGTTGCAATACAGAAATAATAAAGGTTTTCACGGTCAATTTCACACTTTTTTCAATCAATTTCTTTTTCCCAGCAATCAAATTCGCGCAAATCGCACTCCAGCGTTAACTCAGCTTTCAAATTTAAAATTCGTCATTCAAATTCACTATCCGTGCAATCAGTTTTTTATATCGGGTCATTCAAATGTTCACTAAGAGCGTACATTTCGTGCAAAGAGCATTCAAATACATCTAATGCCGGCTTCGGTACCTCGGTTGTCATTCAAATTCGTGAATGAGCAAGCACGTTTGATAAAAGTGCATTCGATTTCAAATTTTGATTTTGTATCACTTTATTTTCAATCTTCAATAAAGGAACATGGTATAAACATAAAAGAATTGCACAGTCACAGACATATAATAAGAGTAGTCCAGTTCATGGCTCATAACTGACAAAGCAGGGCATACAATACAAAACATATAAGACATAAAGATGTTAGAACAGGTTGACTATCGGTCGTCAGGATAGTCAACCTGTTCGAAACCTGTTCGAAACGTCGAGCCACTCCCGCCACCTATCCTCTGTAACCGGCGCTATACCGTGTGAGTCAACAAAAAGTTTACACCTAGAAAATTGCTAATTATTTTTAAAATCTTCTATAAACAGTAAATGATTATACATCTTATGAAAGAGTGTTTTATCCTAAATCATTTGGTATCATTTTTGTGTGGTATGTGTTCACGCTTGGATGAACAGGCTGCATTGTTTGCGATAGTGCAAAAATCGACTTTAGTTTTTCTAGGTGTAAACTTTTTTTTGACTCACACTTTAGTTCTCTTAGAACTATAAGCTAAGAAAGATAACTAACAGTCTTTTTCAAGACTACGCCAACCGTCCTTCCCAGGACTACACACACTCAAGAAAGAAATATTATCGAGAGTCCTTTTCAGGACTTCCCAATCCTCCCTCTCTCTCACACACACACATGGTGCAACCACAAGCCTGTTGTATAGACATTTGTATTATCTTCAATCATTCTCATTTGTAAACTATGTAGGCTAAACAAAAGTTTAACACATGGATATATATATATAACTTGCCATATTACTCATGGCATACACACATAACAAAAAGCTGTATACAAGTATAAATGAAAACTGCAGAAACTGCCTTAGAACTGTGATCGATGTTTGTGTGAAGTGTCAATGATCACTGGATCCAAAATGACACTCGGTTACTATTTCAACTCATCAAATTTTGTACAAATATCACACTTTTCGTGGCATGTTCAAGATATATAAATGCCCATACCAAAATATGCCTAAGATAAGAAAAATTCAAGAGTATTAAAGATAAAGGGGAGTTCTGGTAATGCGATTGCATTGTGAAAGAAAAGGTGTGGAATGGATCAGAAACAGTTGATCATGTAGCATGTAAGTATTGGTGTGCACTGTAAGATTCTGGAGTCATCAAAATCATACTAAATTTGGCCGAGTCTTGGTAAAGTAACAAGTACTGTACACAGAAAGCTATATTTGGGACAACACACGTGGTGTCGGGGCTAGTACTACCTTGATTTCCTTGACTTTCTATGCTCATTACTCAGCCAGTATACATTTTCTTCCAAAATGGTTTGGCACATGTTATTTATTTGTAATCTTGAACATTCAGTGAAAGTTAAGTTTGATTCTGTGAGAATTAATTTTCTTTTTTTTACCAGAACTGGAGTTTATTTTTAATCATTATGTGGTGGACTCGGTGTTATGTCTGAGTATTGTGAAATTGTGTATGCTGAGCTGATGATGGGTGAAGTACTTGTTCTTGTAGGGGGTGTTATCCGTGTTTAATATTGTGTGATTTAATTAGCAAAGTAGGCCTATATCATTATAGGACGTGTCTTTGGATCCATATAATAGATAACTGGTATTCAGCTTATCATATCTGATTAGGCCTATAAAAAAGAGCTAAAACAAAATATATAAAGAAAGTTGGGGGCTGGTAAAAGAAAAAAGGGATAAAAGAAAAGGGAAAGAGATTAGAGAGACAGAGAGCGTTAAAGAGAGAAAGAGAGAGAGAGAGAGAACGCGCGCGAATGGGGAGAGGGTGACATGAGAGATAGAGAGAGGGAGAGAGAGAGAGAGAGAGAACGTGCGTGATAGGGAGAGGGAGAGAGAGGAACGCAAACACATCAGAGGTATATATACATCATGCTAAAGAACAATTTCATTAAAAAGTCTATTCATACAAGTTTGTGGAAATGCATTTTAAAGTATAATATAGGATTTCTCGGTCACTTTCGTAAGCTTTTCATTCGTTTTGATACAAAGTTCATTAAAATTCGCGAAAAAAGCTGCCGCGTGTAAATTTCATTCAAAATAACACTTTTTTTAATTTGATTTACTTATTCGGTTAATGGATTAAGCACTTGTTTCATTCAATTTAACAGCCGCTTACAAATGCGCAGTTTGCATTAATTTTCGTAAACAATAGGGACTTTAAATTTGCACGTCGACAGCTTTGACTGCAACGCGTGACGTCATTTTAAGGCACTGCACATGCGTCACGCCGTCTCAGTCGGCGATCGAGAATGCGTCTACCTTGATTTTCCTAAATCTAGTACGATACTAGTATGCCGCCTGCGCGCGCGTGCATGACGGACAAAGACAGATATGCAG